TTCTTGGCATGCGCGTATATTCAGTCTGCTGGAAGTTTTCGAATCAAGCGTGAAATTAAAAAAGTTCCATATTCAGAGTTAGCTATAAAATACAGCCTTAATACTGTCCACTTTATATACTCCAATGGATACTACGTAAAAAAAGCTATTTATTGACCAAAAATCAGTCAAGGGCCGTAAGATTAAATTATGAAGAAAATTTTGGGAACAAAATAAAGGAAAAGCTTGTAAGATTAGACAACTAAGCCCCGTAGACTAGTGAGGCAGCCTATATTAGCAAGGTTTATTAAACGTAGCTTTCATAGTTCGTAGGCGACACGTAGCAGCCTAGTTAAAACTTCTGTGATATTCTGACAAGATATTTTATTACGTGATTTTTCTTCTGGAATCACTTTTAGTTTTAACTATGTAAACTTTATAGACCTATAAGAATTATAAATAACAGCACAATAAAATAACAGTAGTTGTAAGTCATAAAACTAAATACTTCAGGTCAATCAGTACCAGTAGTTCGTAACAAAATTTTACGTATGAATGCTCGATTTCGCTTTGCACGATAAAACGACTGCATAGATTGTTTATGCAATGTATCACAGACAGAGTCAATTAGACCATTCGTACACAAGGCGATGTAAATTTGAAACCTAGCGATTTTAGTCGCTAACTTTTACAATACCATGTTATAGAGGTGCTATATTATTTCTATCTGTCCTCGCTTTGGCGAGTGAGCCAGTGGCTCGTAACATGTTTGTTTAGATGGCCGTGAGAAAAGTCGCCAAGATTTTCAAGATGGCGGAGCAAATCTTTACAGTTGACATTAGTCTCCACTGACAGAGCGATACTCGCGACGCAAGGATTCAATATTAGTATCAAAGATCTACTTTGCCTTGTGTACGAAGGCCCTTACAATTCGGTTTCAATTACCGAACTCGATCAAGGAATTAAGTATCAAAAACGTTGTATAAAATGTAACTCAGAAATATTGTCGAATATGAAAGGGATTCGATGTCATCAAAGTTATCTTTACGGTCTGTGAGGAAACGAGTTTTATCGGACCCTTTGAAATTGACAACTGAAATTTAACGCTCTGATTTAATGCGTTAGACAGTAAAAAATAAAAACTTGTGAGAATTTCACGTTCGTTCGTTTAAACGTTAACTCGACAGAGGTTGGAAACATTAAATATTAAATATTCTTATAATATTACACAGCAGTTTGTTCTGAAAATTTATTTTACGCAAAGAAATTGAAGGATGATTGCATTGTAATAATAACTATGACAATAGCTTATCAACAACAATATGAAAGTATAATGGACAAAACTTATTTAAAGTAAATATTTACAAAGATTATCGGACATTAAACTAGAAAATTTTCTTATCAGTAAAAGATGCTGATACACACAAACAAACGAAAACCTAAAATAGCACGGACAAGTAAAACATACATACCTACTTGAATCTTCTACTTGATGATTCTTTTGTAAAATTTGAAATAGGTTTTTACACGTCTCGTGGCTGTTTTCATTGTATATATATTTATTTCTAAATTATATTTTCAAATAGTATTTATCGGTTTTAAAAATATTTACGTAAAACATTCAATATCTACCAAATTATTCGTAAATCGTAAGCATATCTTTAAAAGTTAAATTTAATTAATTGCACATATAAATAATATATAAATCGCATCAAACGAAACACCGGTCGGGTAAGAATTCACTTTAAAATAAACATTCCGCCCACTGCCAGCAAAAATGTTGAGACTCCCTGAAAGAATCCGAACAATGACTTTGAAATTTGGTAACGTAAGCTTTGTATATAAAGTAAATATAAATAATGAAAGAAATACTTTGCTCTTTTATTTGAACCTAAGTAAAGATAGATTCACAAAAAATTATAATTTTTTTTATGAAACTCAAATAGAAAGATTCTACCTTTTTCATGTTTCAGTAACCAAAAAGAATGGTAATCTCGCTAAAATCTGACCTGAGAAATTGACAAACAGACAAAACACTTAATAATTAGTATAACGATCATCAAATTAAAAAGAAATAAACAAGTAATTAAAGCATTTTATTTTTATTTTGGCTAAACCAGCTTTAATCACGAACAAACTCAGTTAATCCGAAATTACTAAGTTTTACTTTAAAGGAGGACGAAGTTTGCGACAGTTCGTAATGCGGGGAATGTTTGTGGACGTTCGCTAACAATGTAAGCTGTGGGCCGCTCTTAACTACACCGTAGATCTGTTTTGCAGACCACTTATAGTAAGTTGTAAACCGTTAATTGCTTAGAGAAATCGTATATTTTCACGTTTAGCACTGATTGGACTTCCCGATAAATAACTGAATTTTGTTATTCACATTTGAAATAAAAAATCGACAACATGTTATTGATTCATTTTTTGGTTACATTATAAAATTATACTTGACTTTGGAAACTCCATAAACATTAACACCGTTTTCAAAGAAAGAAATTTACTTAATTTAATATTAATAAATTATAATATTTTAATATAATATTATAAAATTTTAAGCGCTTTTATACCAATTAATTCACAAGATAGATGCGAGTGAAGAGGTATTTAGTGCGACCATGTCAATAATCAGGTTACTATAAAAAATTAAGAACTTTAAAGTACAGTGAAACATAACAGAACTTATTTCAAATCATTATCTAAAACATTCTTCGGTTAAAACTGTACTGTAAAGTTCGCTAGTCGATGATACGACTCGTTTCGTTGTATTCATTCCATTGCTCGTTTTATTCCTTGGAGAAATAAAAGTACGTGGTTTCAAATATTTCACATTTCTTATTTACTTTTTTTATGACTGATTAGTCTTTGCTGTTTTACAAGCTAGAGGTTAAATGAAATCCCTCGAGATGTCGCGTCTAAAATTCTCAGTATCTAAAATGGGATTTGCCTTCTCTCCGACTAAAAATCAGAATAAGCTTGCGTCAGAGTATGTTTACGCGATACGTAAACAAAAAGCCAACCACATCCGTGATTGTCTGTCAATTTGTACGTACAAAAATAATTTCAGTTGCCTATTAAATTATGTTGAAACCCGGTTGATATAGTGTAGGTTGAAGCGGATTCGAATTTTAATAGATACTAGCTGTCGCTCCCGACTCCGTCCGCCCACTACTAAAAAAACTTAATTAGTAGTCTATGTTTTCTTCCAGAATACTTTCTCGCCACGTTTCATCGAGAAACGTTCAGGCGTTCTTAAGATACTTTTAAACAAACATCCATCCATCTATCCATCCAAACATTCGAATTTGTAATATTAGTAAGAAGTAAGATTATACATTTTCAGATGTATCTTTCTTTTGTTTTCAATTAAACAGGATTAAGTTTTTACTTTGATTATAACAAATATTAATTTTGTACAACGTTAAAAAACAGACGTTCCATGTTTGACTTTTAATATTTAGTATTTACTGAACGATTTATTTCCACACACATTGAATTTGAACAAACACAGATTTTATTCATCCATCTTTAAGTTTCGTCTCTTCATTTATCTTCTTTTAAATGCAAATACCGCGTAGCTTCTATTCGCTGCTTTTTATTTTTAACTTTATTTTCCATAATAATAAAAATAATTCCATATAATGTCTCAAAATGTATTCCTTTTATAGGTGATAGGATTTAGATCAGCTCAGATATCAGACATTAGTTAATAATAAACAATTCTATTTTCTTTAACACAGTGGATGAATCGTAGTTTAAGCGAATCGTAAATCCAATACGAATCCATTAAGTCATTAAGAATTAATGGCATTCAAAGTTCGAGCCGTGTTAACGTGTGTTACGACTAGCGTGTAAAGGAAACTAGAACACAATTGAAAAAGTATCTATTTTAAAAGTGTTTATGATGAATACTAAAACACACCGTGTACTAGTTTGAAAGTGAATTAGAACACTTTGAAGCACGATTTTGCCAACAACGTCAGCAGCAATGATCAAACATTTTAGTTTTGGAACGCCAAACTAAACCAGAGGAATAAAATTAAAAGCGAATTATTTTAAATATCATAATTGGTGTAATAGTACTCAAGTATTTTTGTAATTATTCTTGAAATCCAGAATTATCTGAATTACTCTAAAACCCAAGGAATTATTTAAACTTTACATTACAGTTAAAAACAAATACCTACTGTATATTTATTTTGAACTGGACTTTCTATCACATTTCTAAATAGGATAGATTTATTAAAAATCCTGGCAAATATTCTATTGAGATCGTATTAAGAGCTTCCGTTGTTCCTATTCTTTTTAATGATCAGGAATAGTGTCTAATATGTTTGTTAAAAGAATGATCCCCTTAAGCCAACAAAAATGCGGCTAATATTTTTAGGACACTTTATGGTGTAAACAAGAATAACCAGAGATATGTATACAGACAGTTTAGTGTCTGTATTGACATCTCTACACATTAGAAAAAAACGTTATATTTAATATTAAAACAATGGAGCTTAATGCCCCAAAGCTTTTACGCACGATTATCGTAAACTTATTCAAATTAGCATATTAATTAACAACCACATACAAACACGTGACATCTATTAAATTCTAACAACTCATGCAGAAGGGGGTTGCGAACGTGCGTAGCGTGTGTGCTCTCTGTGCACCGGGGCTTAATTTGACAAAGGCTAAGCGATCCCTTCATTATTCTCTTTCAACCGCTCACTTTGAGGTTTCGAAAGAATGTTTACGTTTTCGCAATTAGATGGGTATTCGTGTCCACCTTTTTGAGCGGATCGCTCGGCGTTTGCTACATCGCCACCGGTTCGTCAGTCGGTATGTATGTGTACTGCACGATATGTACCGCATGGTCTGGCGGCAAGCAGCAGCGCGGGCGCGGCGACGTTCGCAGCCCCTGGCTCTCGGGGTCGGAGACGGTCGCATGCGAAGCGGGAGGGGCGACGGTGGGGCAACATGAACGGGGCTCACTGAGAGGATGGTGCGGCGGCACGGAGAACGTGTAGTACTTGGCCGTTTGGTTGTGTGCTCGGAGCACCGAGCTGTGCGTCAGCGTCACCACCACCACGAGGACCGACGCCAGCGCGAGCGCGAAGAAGGACGCTGCTACGGCCGCCACCACGCGACGCCGCCGCGCCTCCTTGCCGGCGTCCTCGGGCGCCGCCGCGGGTTCCGGGGGGAGAGGCGGTGGCTCCGGCGACCGGCTGCGTACGCTCGGCCCACGGCTGTTGGGCAGCTCTAAGGTGTGCCGTCTGGATCGGCGGGCACGCTCGCAGTCCGCCGCCGAGGAATGATGGCGCCTCAGCCGGTGCGGAGCGCCAGGTGCCACGCGACAGGACGCTGAGCGCAGGGTGCGCACCGGCACCATCAGGTCATCGCTGGAGACGCGCGGCACGCGTCCTGAGTGCACCGACCGGAAGGAGTGGTCTCTACTCGAACTACTCGGAAAAGCTAGATCGACGGAAGCGCGGGAAGAATGTCGCGAGAAGCGATCGCGATCGCGGTGTTCGACGCGAACCGACATGTTGCGGCGGCGGCAGCCAGCCGAGTGCCGCTCCCGCCGCCGCCATCGCGCGATCTCGCCGACGCGAGACACGTCGCGACCCGCCGCGCGCTGCTCTCTACACGTGTTTACAAATGTTCCCAATCACATAAATAATTCTTACAAATGTACATCCAATCACGATTCAAATGGCACTCGTCGATTCACTATTTGCTTTGGGGTGTTTAAAATGACTCGTCGTGAAAATCAGAAGAAAGTTTACCTTTAGCGAGCGTGTATGTGCTTTTCAAGACTCCGGCTGCTGTAAACACGCGAATGTCGAAACGTTTATTGTTCAAACTATTCGCAGACTCTTGTTTGTACAAGTTGATGTCAAATAAAGCGTGCGGATTCATCGTATATAAAAAACCTGATACTGACAATACAGAGACCGAAATTGCATTGGAAAACATACCTAGTATCTATTTTTGTGACAGTTTAACAGAACGCGGTAGAATTTAATAGAGCAAACCGCCTATTGTTGTAGAGTCCACGTTGTCAAGTTAAATTGTCTCGGAGGCGGGAAACAAAATAGGTAGATAGCGAAGTTGTACGGCTTCTATATTGACTCCAGTCTACTATAGAACCTATCGTTGCATACATGACTTAGGTTGTGCAAAGCTGAATATTGGTTATTTATAACTATTAGTTTTTAAACTGCATATAAAATTTATTTTTACACATTTTTATAGATAATAGGGGTGAAGCAAAAGTCGATATCAATTCTATGAAAATTTATTGAAAATATTTCCAAGAAGTATCAGTATAGCTACTTTCACCTTCAACGTATTGTCTGCGATTGAAACTCAGTGGACACGTCACATTGTAGGTACAATACAGACAGCTGAGCGGTGACTGGCTCACGATAAGATACCAGTCGTCTATGGAAACGTAGACAATGTGGGAAGCCACAATATCAATATTACCTTGTCTATACAGGCGAGTGGAAATAAAAATATTCTTGAGAATAAAATATATTGCGAGATTAGGTGTTTTATACAAAACACGATATCGTTGCTTGTAGTGGAAAACAGATAGTAAAATTATATTATGATATCAAGCATACCCATACCAAATTTGGTAAAGGATTAAATTGATTCGGGAACAACGCATTTACCCAAATATTCGATTTTATTGTAATAAAATAAATATTTTAGCATAGATTAGATAAAATTATCTAATCTATTTTTTGTTTTACTGGATTTATTTACTACACTTTTAGATGAAAATCTTACTGTAAAATATTTTGTTGTTTTTTCATAACTTGCAGAGGTGACTTTTTTAGCTTCAATTTTATTTGCTACATAACTATCTCTTAAAAAACCTCTCTCAACACGAAAACAATTGTCTTTTAGTTAAGAAAAAATATAAGATTGGTTTTGTCGAAGACTTTCTTTCAAATTTATTGACATTGAGACATGAATAATGGATAGGCAGCTGTTCAAATTAAGTACTCTTTTTTTATCGCAGCGACCTTTGAACTGCTTTTGAGTTCTAAGCTTTTTAACTATTTGTAAAGTGCAATTACTTTGAAGAGACCCCTTTTAGCAAATTAATACATAAATTGTTTAAGTAATTTTATTGATCTTAAAGAAACAACAAACATCAGTATAAGGTGCAATTCAGTGTATTTCATCCCATCTTCTAACTAAAATTAACCATAGTAAATCTTTCGCGCTTATTTCAAATGGAATTCTAAAATATAAGTCAACTAGCAGCTGCCTGCGACTTCGTTTGCGAGGAATTAAAAAAAATAGTATTAAAAATAAACTATAGCACCCCGACAATGTAGCTTCCCAACAGTGAAAGAATTTTTCAATAAATCAGAGCAGTATTTTCGGAGTTTATTCGATGTAAATAAATAAAAAATTCTTCCTCTTTGTAATATTAGTATGCATAAATCTACATACATGTAATAAACACAAATGAATACAAATTAAACTAAATCGTCGTTTCAGTAGGTATTCGTACTATGATCTTATTTATGAAAACAAAATGGATTAAACTTCTCTTCGAGAAATATAATACAAGAATAAAAACATCGAATCTACGGACAAGCAACAGATGGCAAGATCTCACCGCAAGGATTTCGTTTGTAAGTGCGAATCGCTAAACCATCGCTCAAATGTATGAGCATGCTTCAGTTGCCTGTGGCCGAATCCTTTTTCGTGACACAAAAAGTTTTCTAAGCGATGTTTAATCTGATAGTATGATGACATTTACCCCGAATAAAAAATTGTAGAACTCACAAAACTTTCGTTAACGTTTTGAAATTTCAGTACCAATATGGTATTTTTTTTTGACGGACAATACAACTAACGATGGTTAAAACTACTTATAAAGTAGTATAAATACTTTTTTTTATTAATGAATAAGTAGGAGAAGCGGGAGGCGTTACAGGACCGAGCTAAATGAAGGTCCGTGGTCTTTGCTTACCCCTCTGGTGATTTGGTCGTGATATGCTGTTGATTTTTTTTTAATGACCAAGATTCATTAATGAAAGTGTATTTGTGTACTTTTAATATGTTAACCACATTAAGAAGGACGCTGGTCCCAAATCATAACCTATTTGCATTATTCATAACGCAAGCTATTTTCGAAGTCACTTATCGCGACATGCTTTTCAGAACTATTTATAGCGTGATATAATTAATTATGTTAATGATGGCTTGATGAAACCTTAACATATACTTAAAGCATAGATAATGAACGTATATTAAAATATAATAATCATTAGGCCATCCTATTTTTATTTTTATTAAATAAAAAGGCAAACAACATCGGATCGCCAAAAAATATTTGATCCGACACCCATGGACCGCCAACAAAGATACCGCAAATACGTTGCCGGTTTTAAATTATTTGGACATTAATCAATTATATTTTTAAGTATTCGATGTTTATGAGAGGCAAAAATTACGATTTCGGAACGTTTTAAAGGTCTCCTTATTACAATACAAAACAAATTAAAACGTTTTTGTTTATTAATTAAAGCAGCAAATTAAGCAAAGCATTAATTTTTCGATGTCATTTGGATAAGATCAAACAACTACATGTACTAAGAAAAGAAGGAAGAAAGCATAAAAAAAAACAAAATTATAAATATTACTTATATCTCTATAATTAGAACATGACAAGTTTTCTAACATCATAACAATGATGAATTGAGGAGCTCCATAAAAAAATCATAATTATTCATTCTTAGCTTTATTTATTTAACTCAGCCTAGACTCTTGCATTCATAATAATGTCGCGTCTCTTTTTTCTTAGTTTGCAGGTTTATTTTTAAGGGGTGAAACTTTTGTATGGCTTGCAATTTTATTGTAAATAAAGGGTAAATAAGGTATTGTAAATATGGCTTGTGTTTATGAAGTAACTCAAGATTTAATGCAATTTAAAGTTATTTACGGATTTCATAGATTCCGTAATAAAAGCTTACGTAGGACTTGACAAAGGTAGTTAGTACATTCTAAAGTAGTTAGTAGTAGTACATTCTTAAGTAGTAGAATTTCCGGCGGTAAAGGACCACGAAGATCTGTAAGCTGTCAACACCCACTTCTGGAATAACTTTAGACTTTACGCACCGGGGGATATAAAAAAGTAATATACACAGTATTCCGCGGAAATCGTGTAATTCTTTGATATAAAAATAAACATCATCCTTACTTAAGATTCAAAAAGCCATACTCGTAAAATATAACTCCAGAGGGATATTCAAACAAATAATAGAAACGCAGACGTCAGACGTTCTATAAATACGAAATAATGATCTACAGTTTCACGTAAGTGCCAAAGAGGTAATAAAATCAATCTTACTCTCGTAACAAATGTTAGTGTATGGTTTGTTCGTGCGGCAGGTGGCGCGGCGAGCGGGCGCAGGCAAACCGCGAGAATAAGACATTAATATTTCCAACACTGTGCCAAAGGAATGCTCAAATTATATATTGTTCACAAATATTGATTTTAAATTAATTAAACAAGTTATTGCAGCTATCACCCGAGCCTCCGTTCGAAAGTAATTAAAACAAATAATCATAGTTAGTAGCCTATGTGTTCTTCCAGACTATGTTCTATGCCAAATTTCATCAAAATCCCTTTAGCCGTTCTGGAGATACCTTTCAACAAACATCCATCCATCCATCTAAACATTCATATTTATAATATTAGTACGATTAGTCTTCTATTACTTAACAGCCACAAATGAAAATAAAACAAATATAACTTCATAATATTGACCTACGTTTTTTTCTTGGATTCCTGATTTATATGCGTCTTCTATTAAGCTTGTACACCAAAAATAACTAATATCTCGTTTACAAATAACTAAAGCCTAGGTATTTTCTCATTGTTTGAACTGTAGAAATTTTATGAAAAATATGGGTATAACGAGATGATCCAACTTATATTTCCAGATAACAAGCGCAAAAGCGACGCAACAATTTGTTTTATTCAAAAGCATAAGAGTTTTCTTCGAGTTATTGAATACACTGGAGTTAAGTTTCATTTAAGAAAAAAACATTTGTTGAATTCATTCTTAGTTTAGTTAAGAAATACATATTTTATAGTAAAATTATTTATCTTACTAATATTATAAATGCAAATTTTTAAATGGATGGATAGTATGGATGTTAGTTACAAGGTATCTCCAGAACGGCTGCATTCTCGCTGAAATTTGGCATAGATGTAGAATGTAATTTGGAACACATAGGGAACATAGTGGAACACTAATTATTTTTTTTTATCAATTCCGCGCGAACGGAGTCGCGGGCAAGAGCTGTTAATTTAATAAATGTACGAAAACAAGTAATAAATTCAAATTACTCCCGCGTTTGTGTTGATAGTTTTATAATCTGTTTATCTTTGTATTATTTATTGTGTTTACTGCAATTGCTCATTTTAATATTTCTCTTGGATCTCCACATGGTTACATAAAATCGGAAAATTAAAAAAAATGTTAATACTGGCTTAGAATAACAATAAAGTTTC